ACCCAGGTATCCCCTATCGCTGGTACCAAGGGTCTTGGCCCGGTAGTCCTGGATCGATTGTCCGGGTCGACTGCGCCAAGTGCCACACCACCAGTTCCAAAGCAGCAACCGCACCTAAGATAACAGCCCGATCTGCCGCGAGTTTTAGCAATGTCGGACCAGAGACCGTACCCAAAAAATAATAGTACCGAACTGTTGTGAGTTTTACCAGTGTCGGACCAGTGACGAACCTGAAATGATACTTCCCAACAGCAGCAGCCTGTTCCAGCCCGATGCCGAATACCGTATGATGCAGCAAATACCGTGCCTGTCCCATACCTGTCCCGAACCAGTGTACCAGCCTGTTCCGATCCAACAGCCATACTAGACCAATGCAGAATACCGTACCGTGCCGCAAACGTACCACACAGTACTGAATAAATGATTGCAACGCACCTGTCCCGAACAAGTAACCGTATCTGACCAATACAAAACACAATACCATGTCGCAGATGAACCATCCCGATACCAAACGGATGAGTGTGCCGTGCTCAGTCGGAACCAGCGTCCGCACCACCGTAATAGGGTCGCGTGGCCCGTCTCTTAGTAGCGTCAGTAGCAGCGCCAAATCAGCCGTGTCGCCGTGCCCCGAAATCGGTCCCGCCCACTCAACAACACTCGGACTAATGCAAGGGCAGTAATCAGATCAATCAGGCAAAATCACGCATGGGTTCATAACTATTGGAAACTCACACGGATCAACGGTCTCGGGGTAAATAAATATTTCCGGGCAAAATTTCCTCAAAAATAAATTCTGATAAAAATTAATCAAATAACAATTAATCATTTGTTTTCTCTTCTTTTATTATTTTCATTTCTTTCGCGCATTATTAATTCTGCTATTGGAATTAATGAAAACAAAGAACAATTTTATCAAGGATGAGTTCTGATGAAACTTAATTAAATACCAAATATTCTGTTATTTTCCTCCCTTTTATTATTTTAATTATTTTCCTCACTTTTAATTCTGCTATCGGAAGTAATGAAAATGAGGAGAAGTTTCATTATGAATGAATTCAGATGAGATTTAATTAAATCGCAAATATTCAATTATTCTCACCCCTTTGCAATCAGACTCGTTCTCATTCACACTTTTCATGCATGTAAACAGTAGCACAGCAAACTGGCGACATGCGCCCACTCAAGAACTCAGAGATATGGCATCCAGATACGAGTTCACTTTCAATTGGCTATGGCGACTTAACGCCCAAACAACTCACTGTTCACATACACCGGATCACCCTGGGTATCCCACACGCGAATCTCTGAACTCACACACACACACACACTCGCTACTGACTCTAGCTGTGGCGGCTATGGCCGCATCTACCCTATCGCTATGCTACGCTCCTTCTCTCTTGCCCACTTCATCTCCGGGCTCGCTGCAGACCTCCTTGCACAAGTCGCTGTGGCAGCGCTTCCTCATGGCTCACACAGGAATGAATGAAAGGCTGGGCGCTGCCTCTTGATTTATACTTCTGAAACTCGTTGGTCTTCCCTCTTCCATCGGGCCATGGTGCTCACAGTCCCTTGTGGTACTTGCTGGACCGGACTGGGACTGACTGGACCTTACCGCTGACTGAGTGGGGACTCACTGCTAACCTACCACTGTCGTACTGCGATTGCACTGCAGTTTAGTCCACCACTTGACTCACCACTTGCCCACTTGCCCACTTGCTGACCTTCTAGAAGGCTACAGCTAGGACTTCTCGACTTCGCTAAGACTTCTATCCTACAGGTCTACAGATCGAACCCCTGCTACCTACGGACCTATGACAGCCTATCAACTGTTTACGAATACACAGGTCACAGGTTCAACTCTCGGGGTCTACACAGGTGCTGTACACAGGTAGGGCAAGGTCTAGGGATCGAACCCTGGGATCTGCGTCTGCTACTGCAAAGAGGTGAAAACCGTTTCACCTTTTATTATTTTTAATTCTTTTTTTCAATTTTAATTTCGTTATTAGAATTAATTAAATTCAAGGCTCCCATCTCCCCACCAACTGTACGACGTAAAAGAGTCGCGCCAAGGCCTACTACCATTCCTCTGCGCCCCGGCCGGCCGCTTCGGGAGCAGCCTCGGAACGGACGAAAATGACAGGTGCTAGGCATGGCAGGCGCGGTTGCTCCTCTTGTTGATCTCAAGGGTCAGGTTCAACAGTCGATGCGGGGAATTTTAGGGGTCTCTTTCCGACCCCTAATTTTTCCCGATGGCTCTGATGAAAGTCCCGGTCAATCCCTCTTTAGGCACTTAATCCAAGGCCCAATCCATCGAAATTCGGGTGGCCGACTGACCTTCGGCCGCCCGACCCGCGTGTTGTCAGAGTGCAGCGTCAGTCCCAGCTATGGCTGACACTCCGCAGGTCCGGCTATGTCCGTTTTCTCCAACGCTGAAGTTGTCACCACTTCCAGTTCACGCGTTGCACAGCAGCAATGTACACGGTACCAACTGCCAAAAGCCCTGAACCGATGTCCCCCCCCCCTATCTATAACCTACACTAACTTAGACACGACCTAGACCAGACTGACTGGATCGACCGGTACCATTTCAGTTTCGGCCTCTCGGCCTCTACCTACCCGGCCATAGGCTATAGGACCGTCTCTCAGCATAGGCCCTTAGGGCCTGTCTGTCCTAGGGGTAGTTCGGGCCTGCTATTCACAGCTAGGGTAGCTGTAGGTACTGTTAGTTAGCACGGGCCTGTGTTTTCCCGAATTTATAGGTATGTCCCTCAAGAATTTTCCCTACAGGTAGGTCTCTCGGTTAGCCCTCAGCCAAACAAAAATTACGAATCTATCCTACCTATAGTGCAGCCTCGATGAGAGAGGCCACAGGCAACTGAAACCAGCAAGTCATTGCACAGACACTGGGGCCCGACTGGAAGCTACTGGAAACTCGTCCAGCCAAGCCCAGAGCTCGACAAAGCAGAGCCCACTTTCCATAAGGCAGCCAGAGAGCATTCTGGCTGAGGATTTGCAGGTGGCAGCGCTGCTGGTTTGAGCGCTGGAGGCCGCTTGTAGGCCAAGGGGTGGAAGAGGCGCACACAGGCGCATTGTGGTGTTGGGCGCTGCTGGTGCAGTGGGCACTGAGCAGCCATAGCCGGGCTGCGCAGCGGAGGCTGGTGACGGTGACAGTGATCTTTGGGTGTCGGGGATGCACACTGTGGGAAGTCAAGGGGTGAAGTGAGAGGAGAGAGAGACATACCTGGTGTATGCTGGCAGTCTGCATTGGCGACATCGTCACGTACATTGGTCTTCGGCATCGAAGTGTTTCCTGTTGCTGAATGTAGTGAATGCTAGTATTAGGTGCTGAGCAGATAGGCTGGGCGCCAAGTGCCAATCGAGAAGATCGACTTTGAATACTATGTTGGTGTGGCAAGAGAGTGTCAGCATTGACATTTGAGTTCACTGTATTGCTCGTATTCGGCTGATAACTCGGTGCATTGTGCTTTCTGCTTGGTACACCACTATCTGGGCTACAGCGCGATTTTGCAATTTGGACTTCTATCTTTCGCTCTCGCTCATGTTCCTTGCAGATGCTACTCCTCCTTCAATTTCCCCACAGGTTTTTCCTCTCCCCTCTCACTTTCCCTTCCCGGCCCCCTGTCCAAAACCAAATCATGTCCGTAAAGCTCAACATTTATTTACAGTTTTCTGATTTTTACTGCCCATCATTGGAGCAGAACTCCTTCTCTGAAAGTCCTTTCTGACACCCTCCAGAGAACCATTTAAATGCATTGACCACTGCACAACGTCCCTGGAAAACACGACGCACAACAAGCCACCTACCTACCTACCATACACCCCCAAGCTTGGTGACTTTCTATCCTTTCAACCAAAGGACAACCATGCATAACATCCACATCATCAATGCACACAGGCTATGTAACTGATAGTGCTGCTGGATTCCTTCTACATCGTCACCATGGTGACTCTCTATCCTTTCCGCCAAAGGACAACCATGCATAAAATCGACATTGTCAATGCACACAGGCTATGCAACTGATAGTGCTAGCTGGATTCCTTCTTCATCATCACCAGTCCCTTCAGTAGTCTGTGAGAACACATGCTAGGCTGTCGATGACCTAGCAAGAAATCATACCTGCCTCACTTCAGAAGACAATGGACAAGGGTATCCAATTGTGTTTCAGCATCATCCACTAGGTTTGGACACTTCTACAACTGATTGCTAAAGAAAATGCCTCCCTCAGCCTACTGCAATGGGCCACTGAAGGATGACATGGCTTACACCGTTTGTCACAGATCGATAACATATGCCAAAACAGAGGGTGCTGACACACACTATATCATACAGATGTTTTCGATCCACGTATTCCCAAACACAAGCGAAATGAGAAAAGGGCTAGAGCGGTTCTTTGGGGCATTCATTAAAATGGGAACGATACAGAGACGCTTAGTGGGGCCCCTGTGCACGGATGACGCACATAAATCGAGAAGCGGTCCAAATTAAAACAAAAACAAAAAAGCCTCAAAATGGGTACAGCGAGACAATCCATATCCGCCAACGGAAGAGTGTAGCAAGTCGCAAGACAATCCAGAAACCATGTAACCATTTTATAGGAGAGAGTCTGAGAGACCATCATAAGGCAACCGCACACACAGACAGGTTTAATGAGGACATGACAATCCCAAACACAGCCAGACAAATTGAGGCACTGATGGCCAGCAAGGTCATTCCACCAACACAACAACAAAACCAATAAGCGGCTGAGTGAGAAAGTAATCCAGTAACTTCAGATTATCGACATGGACAAGGTAGCAAGGCAACGGTCTCATGGTAACCCCACACAGAGGGACAAGGAAACACTCAGACAACACAGGAGAACTTACATCAATCTCACACGCTATTCCGTCAATGAATGTGATAAACCCCAACGATTATTTCCCTTCACAATTCAAACTGATCTTGCTTTCCATGGCCATTATTGGTTGCGTTTGCATACCACGTTGAAGATGTTCTTAAGAATTGTAATTTGCCTTGGTGCAATAACTGAGAGTGACACCCCACACTGAAAATCATCGACAACAACAACAGAAGACATCATGATAACCACATGGCACACAAGCAAGCAAGACAACCACAGCCCACAAGGCGAACAGTGTCAGTCACAAAACTTCAAGTGGAAACTAATACACTGGTTACACGTCGCATTCTTGCACAAACAGGATTAGATCAAATCTGCAAGGATAGTTGGGCAGTCTAAAGCAGCAAGAAATGGTAGCATGGGCAACATAAGACAAAGCAAGCCAATCTAATAGACAATAACATACGAGTGTGCATTATCAACATGTTTTGAGAACTTTTGACCGATTCGTAAGTGCACACATCTAGAAACCTGATGGTCCACATCTGCCTGTTATTTTCTGACACTTACGAGCTTCCACTATTACGGGCAAGAGCACAGCAGCGACTACACAGAATAACACATCATATACGTGATTTCACATTCAGAGCAATACGGAAGGAGCGGTAAAGGCAACAAGTTACGTAAACATAAGCAGAGGAAGAAGCAGAAATCCCAGTGAAGCATCTTACCCTAAAGTGCCTCACAGAAGCATGGGATATGAGGCAGAATATACAGAGAATTTGCACAGACTGCACGATCATGTCATGTCAGGCATAAGTAAACTACTACTTTTGGTTGTCATGTCAGCCCAGCACCTACAACAGCTTCACAGACTGTCTGCAAGATCGCACTCCCGCACATGTAAATCACCACCTCAAGAACAAGGAATGTCAGACTGGACACGCGGCAGAAACACAGAGGTAACGACAAAACAACACACAGTTAAGCACCACCTCAAGAGACCAGTGCCTGTGTGCAGGATAAAAGTAACAGGTCAAAATGGTCATAATGACCTAATAAGAACATACAATTGTGGAAAATTATGCTCACCCTCCTCAATTGTCAAGAAGATCACAAACGCCCGCACCAACGCTAAGCCAGAGGTGGCAGAAACACCTTCAGCTAGCCCTAAGGCCCCTAACAGTCACTTCAAAACTTGTGTGGGGCACAGTCATGTCAATCAGAAACATCCGGGTCAGAGCTCAGAAGCCTTCAGTGGCTAATCACTTATCTGGCTGTCCCGGAAAAAACAGTGGCTCATCAGGAGGAGTGCGCAGAACAGCAACTATGTGATGACCCGTCCAAACATGGACTGAAACACAGCTGATTTCTGAGTTTTGCTCATAGACTGAATGCCTTGCTGAGTTTCCCGCCTGCTACTAAGTCTGTGTGTGCACGCTTGCCGGACTGCATGCACGCTTGCCGGACTGCATGTCCGTCTGAGTGCTGGTTGGCTTGAGTGTGTGTGTGACCATGCCTGTCTGAGTGTTGGTTGGCTTGGGTGTGTGTGTGACCGTGCCTGTCTGAGTGCTGGTTGGCATGAGTATGTGTGTGGCCCGTCAGGGCCGGTACTTAACTGTGGCTGTAACATTGAGAGTTGCAGCGGGGAAAAGCACTCAAGTAGCAGGTAGGCCGGTACCGCACCTGGAAGGGGTAGATGTGCAGGTACCGGAGGCCGAGCAGAAGAAGACAAAAGTGGCATTTTTAGAGGCCCAGTAGTGTAGGCTAGGTCTAGGCGGATACCAGTCTAGAGTCTAGGGCCTGTACGAGCAATATCAGAGTCTGCAATGATGTTTCCCTCCAAAAAGGAGGAGGTACCGGTTGCTTGGGAGGCCAAGCGGCCTGGAAGTCACCGCCCAAGAGGCAAAGCAGTTCGCTATATCTTCGGGCCGGGCGGAAAGTCCGGCCTCTTTTTCGGTGTGCAAGTTTGGCGACACACTGGTGGAGCGCTGGCTGGAGCAGCGCTGCTGGGGAGGAAGGAGAAGGACACGGGGGAGGAAGAAGGAAGGAAGGGGGAGGAGCGCCAGGGGTACTTACCTGGCTATGGTGGCAGCCATCTTCATCACCTTGGTGGGCGCTGCAGCAGGGAGTCCCCAGCTGGGGAGAGCTACACCAAGAAGCTTCGAGGCGGGGTCAGGCATGGCGGCCTGAGCTAGAGCAGCCATAGCTGCTTTGGGTTGTCCTTTGGGCATCTGGGCAAGGCCTAGTAGTCCGCCCTAGCCTCGGCGTATGAGAGTGAAGAGTGGGAGAAGCGGCCATGGCTACGGTGGACCTCAAGGAAAGACTCGGACATTGATTCTGGATCAGCCATTCAACATTGTATTATTATTTCTTGTATGAATAAGAGAAGGGGGAGATAAGGAGGAGGAGATTGTTGGGCGAAGGAGACGAGCCTTGTCATTGTCTTTGCTGGTGTACATCTTCTTCTTCTTCTTCTTTCTTACTTCTTCTTCTTCTTCGAATCCTCTCTCTCTCTTCTCTCAAGTTCATTCATTTCTTTCTGCAATTGGGCGGCATTGTACTTTCTGATGGATGTGTATCTCGAAATTGGCCAGGATCATAACAACTATGTAAACCAGCTATGCTCTATCTGCAACCCGGCGGAAGTAGAGACGTGCTCAACTGTCGGTTGAAATTCATTAGAGCCAAACAGATCTGGGAAAGAGAGGCTGCATTGTGGACAGCAGTCATAGACCAGCCTCTGCCGGAGGACGGCCTAATGAGACTATCAGGTTATACATTGCCAAGGGGAACGAAGACTCTACCAGAGAATTAGAATGTTGGCCATATGCACAATATGGAAGAGAAGATGCCAAGAAACAATCAACAAAATGATAGTCACCACCCCTCATGACCGGGTCGGCTTCGCAGACGACCGAGAAGCAAAGTATCACTGTATCACAGAGATTGGACAAAGACCAGGCGAGAGAGGAAAGACACCCAGAAAAGAAAATAGTGTTACGATCCTGGCCAATTTTGAAGTATACATTCATCAGAAAGTACAATGCCGTCCAATTGCAAAAAGAAATGAATGAACTTGATAGGAGAGAGAGGGAAAGAAGAAGAAGAAGTGAGAAAGAAGAAGACGATGATGTACTCCAGCATAGGCCAATGACAAGGCTCTTCTTCTTCGCCAACCAATCTCCTCCTCCTTATCTCCTGCCCTCTTATTCAAACAAGATATAAAAATAATAATGTTGAATGGCTAAACCAGAATCAATGTCCGAATCCCACTTCTACTCCAGGAACAATATGAGGTCCACCATAGCCATGGCCACCCTTCCTCTTCCTCTAATTGCAGGCCGAGGCTATGGCAGAGCACTGAGGGCTCTACCCTCCTGTCCAAAGGACAACCCAAAGCAGCTATGCCGCTGCCCTTCTGTCCCAAGGTCAACACCAGGCAGCTATGCCGCTGCCCACTCAACCGCCATGCCTGACTTTGTCCCGAGCTTCCTTTATGCGGCACTACCCCAACTGGGGCCTTCCAGATGCAGCGCCTGACAAGGTGATGAAGATGGTGTCCACCATAGCCAGGTAGGTACCTCGCCACTCTCCTCCTTGGTCCCCTTCTCCCTCCTCCTCCTACCGGTAGAGCTCCACCATAGCCAAGGTGGAAGCTCCCGGCTTCTTCCTCCCAGCAGCGCTGTAGTACCCAGTGCTACTCCAGCCAGCGCTCCAGCAGCGTGTCGCCAAACTTGCACACTGAAGAATGAGGCCAGGCTCTTCCCTCGGCCTCTTGATATAGCGGCCTACTTGCCTCCTGGGGGGTGACTTCCAGGCTGCTCGGCCTCCCAAGCAACCGGTACCTCCTCCCTTTCGGACGGAAACATCATGGCAGACTCTGATATTGCCCGTACAGGCTCTAGACTCAGACTGAATGGACTGGTACCAGCCTAGACCTAGCCTACCGCTACTGGGCCTCTAAAAATGCCAACTTTGTCTTCTTCTGCTCGGTCTCGAGTACCCAGCACATCTACTGCTGCTGGGTGCGGTACCGGCCTACCTGCTACTCGAGTGTTTTTCCGCTGCTCTAAGCACCACGGGCCCCTGGCTCCGCTACTTGAGTGTTTTCCCTGCTGCAACCCTCAATGCCACGGCCACAGGTAAGCACCGGCCCTGCCAAACAAGCAAGTACCCTTGCGGGTCACACACACACTCATACCGACAAGCACTCAGACAGGCACGCAGGTCACAAGCACGCACACACACAGACTTAGAAAACTCAGCAGAATGCGGGAATATCAGCAAGGCATCCATTCCATCGGCAGAACTCTAGAAATCACCAGTGTTCTCAGTCTGTGTTATGGCAGGTCATTACAATAGGAATTTCTGAGCGGCCGAGCTCAGTTGGTTGAGCACGTAAGTGGTACACAGGAGGTTGCGAGTTTGATTCCCTGCTGCATCCTTTCGACTCACCACGACCCCCTGTGTGGCATACTTCGGGTTCACTGACTGCCTTCTGGCAGGTTGTGGAAGTTGCGTCTTTCTTTCCAGCCCACGCCAGGTGTTAGGAGGCTGGGTGCTGCTTCCTGCACAGAGAAGAGTTACGTAGGCGTAGACCCATAACCTTAGGATAGCTTAGGCTTGGTTAGTAGATTTAAGGCTGCCTTTTGTCCGATGTAGGGTGGTTGCACTTCCTATATAGATGTGGTTCATTATCTGCCTTGTACGGCTTGAGGGTATCTTGGGGCTTCACTTTCACCCCAGCCCACTTAGCCTTATGGTTAGGTGTTAGCCTGCCATGCCGTTGGTTGTGTGTTCAAGTCTTGTATACAGCATGCACATGCTTTCTCGATGTAACAGTCATAGAGTTGAAAACTACGGTAGTCTGACTGCGTAGGGGAAGAAGAAGGAGGGGAAGGAGGAGGGGAAGAAGAAGGGGAAGAAGGGGAAGGGGAAGAAGAAGGGGAAGAAGGGGAAGGAGGGGAAGGAGGGGAAGAAAAAGAGGGGGAAGAAGGGGAAGAAGAAGAAGGGAAAGAACAAGAAGGGGGGGAAGAAGTGGGGGAAGAAGAAGAAGGAGGAGGAGGAGGAGGGAGAGGAAGGAAGAGGAAGGAGAAGGAGGAGGAAGAAGGAGGAAGGAGGAGGAGGAGGAAGAAGAAGAAAGGCGAAGAAGAAAGGAGGACAAGAAGAAGAAGAAAAAGAAGAAGAAAGACCAAACTAAG